GGCATGTCTTTTAACCGCCATGTCCTGAAGATGATACCGCTCATTGAGAAGCTAGAGGGTCTAGTGATAAACCCCTAGTTTATCAGGTTTTTCAGCATGAATTAGTATCAATTTGTGTGATAAATTGGATGAAAAAGAGGTTAATGTCCTGGAAATCCATCAAGTGCAAGTTCTGAAAGCTTTGTTGAAAATTTACACTGTCTTGTAGGGAAATGAAGCTCAAAGAACAGCAGAAAGAAGGAAGAAGATTCTGGAGAAAGGGAGAATGCCTAAGTGTTGAGCGCTAAAAGGTACACACAGATAGTTTTAGCGCACTGCTGCAATCTGAAGGCAAAAGTTACTGGTGCCGAGCGCTAAAACGTCCAACACAAAACGTTTTAGCGCGCTGCTACAAACTAAGGACAAAAGTTGCTGGTCTTGGGCGCTAAAACTTCTTGAGCAAATGTTTTAGCGCCCTGCTGTTGGAAAAAAACTCTGGTCTCGAACGCTAAAACGTCCAAGTCAAACGTTTTAGCGTTGGAAGCAGTTGGACATCCACCAATCATGGACGCTAAAACGTTCATCAGTTCACGTTTTAACGCCCAATACAGTTGAAAGCAGTTGGTCATCCGTCAAGCATGGACGCTAAAACGCCCATCAAGAACGTTTTAGCGCCCATGTTAGTTTTTAGTTGTAAATTGTAATACTATAAAAGGCAAGGGCCTTCATATTTGTCATATCATCCATCATATCTATCTCTCCTATATCAGATCCTCTGATCTGACTCCTCTCTCTTACTTTCCAAATTCTTAGGAGTAGTTTGTATTAGTTAGTATTTCTTATGTAATTGTACTTGAAGATTGAAGACTCACTATCATGACAATGGAGTTTGATCTTTCTTCTTCTCTTATTTGTATTTCAATTATGTCTGAGTAGAGTCCTTTGTAGTCTGTTTCAATGGAACTCAACTGTGAATTTATGAATGGTTAATTAGATTTTTTTTTTATCTCTTATGTGATTGTATGAAGTTGTCTTGATTAATTCTTCATGTTAAAGGAATAGTGTAGAACAGACATGTTTACATTGTTTCTATATTTGACAACTTCATCATCAGTGTTCTAGTAGTCAAGACATTGATGCTAGGATTTTGATGTGATCTTAAGACCTTAGTAATTAATGCATGTATTAAGAACGAAATCACCAAGACATTGGGGTTTCTGATTAATGTATCTATCAGGGTAGTAAGACATTACATCTTGATGATAAGAAAAAGGTTGATCAATATCACATAGTAGATAATTCATAATGGAAATTGGTTCATCCATAAATTCATGCTTGAAGGAAATTGACATCTGACTACTTGTTAAGTTATATTCATATTTTATTTGTTTTTCAATTCTTTAATTTTATTCAAACTAAATTTTTAGTGACAAGAAATCAATGCAATTCAGAATTTTTCGGTTGATTCAACTTAATAACATTTGGTTAGTTAGTGCTTGAAACAAATCCTCGTGGGAACGATCTTTACTCATCATTTTGTTACTTGTTTGACTAGTACACTTGCTCAATTAACAACAAGTTTTTGGTGCCGTTGTCGGGGATTTGTTTTTCAACATTGACAGATACCATTAGTTGTTGTGATTGAATCTTTTATTTTCAGCATTTTATATTTGTTGTATGAATTTTTGTTCCATTTTAATTCTGGTGTATGCGAGGTACGATTGTTCAAAACTCTTTGTTGTTTGATCCAAAATTAGAAAGGACAATCAGAAGAAACATGAGGGCAGCCAGGAGAAGGCAGTTACTGGAAAGGGGTGAACCAAGTGGTGAACCAAGTACTACAGTACAGGAAGAAGAGATCATGGCAGAAAATCATGTGCAATCACCACAGAGGACATTGGGAGATTACATGACTTCTGCTGTCATTCCACCCATTGGAAGTGTGGTTCGACCTATAGTAGAGCCCAATAATTTCGAATTGAAGCCTGCACTAGTACAGTTGGTGCAGAAAGAACAGTTTGCTGGAACAATTGCAGAGGATCCATACCTGCATATTGAGAATTTTTTGCTGTTGAGAGACACTGTGAAAATCAATGGAGTGACCAGAGATGCCATTCTATTGAGGCTATTTACTCATTCACTAAAGGATGATGCCAGGAGATGGCTACAGTCATTACCACAAGGAAGTATTACATCTTGGGATGATCTGCAGACCAAGTTCTTGGCCAGATTCTTTTCAGCATCCAAGAGGGAAAAGTTGAAGGATGAGATCACAGGATTAAAGCAAAGAGAGTGATAAACCCCTAGTTCATCAGGTTTTTCAGCATGAATTTGTATTAATTTGTGTGATTAATTGGATGAAAAAGAGGTTAATGTCCTGGAAATCCCTCAAGTGTAAGTTCTGAAAGCTTTGTTGAAAATCTACACTATCTTGTAGGGAAATGAAGCTCAATGAGGAGTAGAGAAAAGAAGAAGATTCTGGAGAAAGGGAGAATGCTCAAGTGTTGAGCGCTAAAACGTCCACACAGACCGTTTTAGCGCGTTGCTACAATTTGAAGGCAAAAGTTTCTGGTGCCGAGCGATAAAACGTCCAACACAGAACGTTTTAGCGCACTGCTGCAAACTAAGGACGAAAGTTGCTGGTCTTGGGCGCTAAAACTCCCTGACCAAACGTTTTAGTGCCCTGCTGCTGCAAAAAGACTCTGGTCTCGAACGCGAAAACATCAAAGCCAAGTTTTTTAGCGTTGAAGTTGGTTGGAAGCAGTTGAGCATTCACCAGACATGGACGCTAAAACGTTCAACAACTCACGTTTTAGCGCCCCAGTTAGTTGAAAGCAGTTGGACATCCGTCAAACATGGACGCTAAAACGCTCATCTAGAACATTTTAGCGCCCATGTTAGTTTTCAGTTGCAATTTGTAACACTATAAAAGGCAAGGGCCTTCACATTTCTGAGGGGATCCATCACACCTCTCTCTCATATATCAGATCCTCTGATCTGACTTCGCTCTCTTACTTTCCAAATTCTTAGGAGTAGTGTTGTATTAGTTAGTGTTTCATATGTAATTGCACTTGAAGATTGAAGACTTACTATCATGACAATGGAGTTTGATCTTTCTTCTTCCTTTGTTTGTATTTTAATTATGTCTGAGTAGAGTCCTTTGTAGTCTGATTCAATGGAACTCAAGTTTGAATTTATGAATGGTTAATTAGATGTTTTGTTTATCTATTATGTGATTGTATGAAGTTGTCTTGATTAATTCTTCATGTTGATAAATAGTGTAGAACAGACATGTTTACATTGTTTCTCTATTTTTGACAACTTCATCATTAGTGTTCTAGTAGTCAAGACATCGATGCTAGGATTCTGATGTGGTCTTAAGACTTTAGTGATTATTGCATGTATTAAGAAAGGAATCACCAAGATATTGGGGTTTCTGATTAATGTATCTATCAGGGTAGTAAGACATTACATCTTGAGATGATAAGAAAAAAGTTGATCAACATCACATAGTAGATAATTCATAATGGAAATTGGTTCTTCCATAAATTCATGCTTGAGGGAAATTGACATCTGACTACTTGTTAAGTTATATTCACATCTTATTTGTTTATCAGTTCTTTAATTTTATGCAATTTAAATTTCGGGTGACAAGAAATCAATGCAATTCAGAATTTTTCGGTTGATTCAACTTAGTAACATTTGGTTAGTTAGTGCTTGACACAAATCCTCGTGGGAACGATCTTTACTCATCATTTTATTACTTGTTTGACTAGTGCACTTGTTAAATCAACAACAAGTTTTTGGCGCCTTTGCCGGGGATTCGTGTTTCAACATTGACAGATACCATTGGTTGTTGAGATTGAATCTTTTATTTTTTCAGCACTTTATATGTCTTGTATGAATTTTTGTTCTCTTGTAATTCTGGTGTATGCGAGGTACTATTGATCAAAACTCTTTGTTGTTTGACCCAGAATTAGAAAGGACAATCAGAAGGAACAAAAGGGCAGCCAGAAGAAGGCAATTACAGGAAAGGGGTGAACCAAGTGGTGAACCAAGTATTACAGTACAAGAAGAGATCATGGCAGAAAATCATGTGCAACCACCACAGAGGACACTGGGAGATTACATGACTCCTGTTGTCATTCCACCCATTGGAAGTGTGGTTCGACCTACAGTAGAGCCCAATAATTTTGAATTGAAGCCTGCATTAGTACAGTTGGTGCAGAAAGAACAGTTTGCTGGAACAAGTGCAAGGGATCCATACCTGCATATTGAGAACTTTTTGCTGTTAAGTGACAATGTGAAAATCAATGGAGTGACCAGAGATGCCATTCTGTTGTTAAGTGACAATGTGAAAATCAATGGAGTGACCAGAGATGCCATTCTGTTGAGGCTCTTTACTCATTCACTGAAGAATGATGCCAGGAGATGGCTTGTAACATCCCGCATAATTAGGAACTTATATTAATTATAATTAAGAATGTGAAATATACTTGCATTTCGAATTAAATTTATGTTTATAATGGAATTAATTTAATTAGGAAAAATATTCTATTGAAAATTATAAGTTAATAATTATGTATTTTAAAAGATTCCTAACACTAGTAAAAGGGGTAGAATTACAAATTCATGATGATGTAAGTAGGAATTTTAATTACTATCTAGTGGGAACATGAAATAATAATTATTAGGAAAGTATTTAAAGTGCGATATACAATGAAATCCTAGACAGTAATTTAGTGGACTAGTGTCTGAGCTAGGAAAATCATTGGAATTAGATTTTGGACCCCCCATCCTTATTTGGACCGTCGGCCCATAGGTCTTATGAAAGGCTGAAGTTCAATCAGAATTTATAATCTATCCTCACATCTTATCTTAAGAAAATCTACAAGGTAGCCATGCATTGGTAGATTAATTACACATGTCAAAACCCCATGCAGCCTATTAGGTGAAAGTAATCCTCTTGCATGCATTATTATTGGTCAAAGGCAAACTCCCTTTACCTCCCTTATCCGTTCTTGTGCGTCAATAGGGAAAGAACAAACTGGTCTTGGTATCATTCTGATTGCAAGTACTATTCTGTCTCCTCCTTTCAATTCCTTTTGAAACCAAATTCAGCTACTCCCACATAAAACCGTACACCCCTTAAGAGTGACGTCAAGTGCTTGAAGTTCATCCTTCTACTCATCCATCCTCATTAGCCGCAACCACAAGAAAGAGACCAAGAAGAATAACCTGTTAGCCTCTCTCATCATCATCTTCCCATGAGATCGTAAGTGCTTTGAGGAGACAACAAGACACTAAGCACACTCTTTCCCTCCTCTCATGATTCGGCTGAGCACTATTGAGATAGAGGTGTAGGATTTTTCCTAGTTCCATGTTTCCCTCCATTCATCCGATTTGATAAGGAATTCCTCTTGCATGTTCATGTCTTGCTTCTGATCTAGGACTGCCATCCGTTACATGCAGATTCTGGTTGGAGTTCAACACTTATTCCCCTTTTGTTTGTGCACACCGTCAACCTAGTGGGAGAAAGTAAGATAGCTTAGGAGTAATCATGTTCCTCCCACGAAGACCTATTCGGTTTGGGATTTCTTTCATGGAGTGCAGTTTGAATCCTTCCTCTTAAAGAATAGAAAGATGAAAGAACTTGCATGTCAATTGGCCTCTGCTTCTTTCGTGATCGAAATGTGAACCTTGGGCACCTCCAAATAGATGTAAGTAATTTATTAAACCCTTTTCTTGTGCCTTGTTGTTCGGCCCACATGCATCTAGGATGAAACCCTATCTTGGTTATTCTTCTCCTTAAATCTTGTTACTTTGGACCACCTTGGGATTTAATGATGTACGTTTAAACTGAAATTTTGGCGAAACCGAAATTGGCCTCTATTAAATCGCTGAACTGCTCTTGTGTTAGAAAAGTAATGTGCAAAAGTCATATGTTCACATAAGTAGTCCTACCTAGGTGATGTTGGTAAATTTTGATTAAGAGAAAGAGATAGAATTTAGTTAAATGCTAATTATAAGACTGAATTGGTGTATATAAGTATAATGGGGTTTTTGCCAATTGATATCTATTAAGGAAGATGTAATTATATTTATATTCTTGGTCATTCCTCTCCATAGTCCTTGGACGCTGCACATAGGCTAGGAAACTGTAAAGTTGTGCTACTCCCGTTTCTTCTCTGTTCATTCAGTCCATGAATGATAGGGTGATGCATTTTTGGTTATTCACCCTTCCTTGTTTCTGCCAAGCCGTGGGGTTTTGTTGAAGCACACAAGCATACCAAAGAAATCTGAGGTAGGGGCTTGGAACATAGCTCCCCTTAACTATATGGGACTGCTTTATTGGATTAGTATAAGTTGTAGGAACTTGTAGGTATTAACTTAAGAGGGTAGCTCGCTAATAATTTTATGATCATGCTAAGGTTACATAAAAAGCCTTAAGTATAAAAATAAATAAAATAATTGATGCACCTTGAGGATGACCAAAACAGAATGGGTATGTATAGGTTACCTTGGAACCACTATACTAATTTGGCTTGCTATGTTTTTATTCAGTAAGGGCAGCGTGTCATAATTTAATTAGCAGTAACTAAAGGACATTGGTAGAGTTGTGTTAAAACAAAGTATAATCACCGAATTATGAACCGAACTTTGGACATGAAAGAACTTAATTGGATAGCTTGCTTTAATCCCACTAGTACACCTTAAATCGTGTAGGGTACTATATGTAAAATAATAAACCTTAATCACCTTGTGATGAGGAAGGCCAAATCTGTATATTGGAGAGACTTTAGATTGTGTCATTGGTTAGCAATGTGGAGAGCTGAATCTAAGACAGAAAATTTCATAATATTGGAAACATGATAAATGATCAAAATACAAGAATGGGAAGTCCTTGGTAATGGTGAAGACAACCGAATTAAATGTCTAGGGAATTACATTTATGTCATTTGTTAATCTTTGGCAAAACTAAAATTAAATCAGAAAATAAAATAACATAGATGCATGGTAAATCGGTTAGAAGCCTTGAATTAGAAGCATGGAAAGTGCATGCATTTTATTGGGATAGTAGATGCGAACTCTAATTGTTGGTGCCCAATGTTTAGGTGTGCTAACTTCTAAAAGTGTGGGCTGATTGGTGATGCTTTGATAAAAATAAAATGTTAAAGACTCGAGGTATGTGTTAGGTGGTATTACCTAATGTGACTATTAACTAGTGTATGAAGTTGTGAATTGTTGCTCACATGTGCCTAATGATTATCCTGCTATTTAAGATGAAAGTATTTTGCCTATGGAAATGTTATGATGGTAACTCTGTTATGAAAAGAAATGATGGCGTGGCAGTATGGCATCAAAAGTACATGAAGTATATGTTATGATGATGATGATATAAGCATGCACTTTACATCATACCGCATCTGTTTTTCTGTTTTGTGTGTGACAGCATAGCATGGCATACGTGCATAAATTTCATGTTGCATTGGCTAGTAATAATATCTATATAAATATGCATATGATTGAGCACGCATCATATAGGCATCCCTTCGGTACCAGGGCATGGGACACTTGGCTTCCGTCCGCTTAGGCCACAGTTGGAATTCACCTTTGAGGGAGCCATTATGGAATATCCACTGTGATGGTGCGCGCACGACGGTGCTATGAGCGCAATGAAGGCGTTATATACGCATTATGATGAATATGACATTATATACGCATTATGAAATGTTAGTAGCGCACGAAGGTGCTATGAGCGTAATGATGGCGTTATATACGCACTATGATATGTTAACGGAAAAGGAAATGTTGATGTGACTGTTTATAATTTTGTGCCTAGTTTAATGTTGTTGCATTATTGGTTTTGTTGCCACACTACTGGGATTTTTCTCACCCCTTTAGGGCTGCTATTTTTACAAAATGGCAGGAGGACAGAAGAGCATATGAAGTCATGATTATATGGATATTTACTGTTTGGACTTTTGCTTTTGCTGTTCATTTGACGGATGACTGTATTAATTTGAGAAATTTGGATAATTGTTGGATTATGATTTTATTGTTGATTTAAGACTTTTATGATCAGCAAGTATTTTGGAGGTAAATTCTAGAAACAGTTTGTGAAAATAATTTCTGACGTTTTATTAAGTGCTGATTTTCGAACAGTTTTGCGAGCACTTTACGAGTTATGTTACTAGGGGCAAACAAACTCCGATTTACTATTATTTTATATGCACGCGAAGCCCCAGACGTGCTCTTTCTATATTATATAGAATATTTTTTTGAATCATCGAAACTGATTTTATACTAATTTTTAAAGACAGCAAGGTCCACCAGGAAAATAATATTTTCAGCAACTTAAGAAATTCTGAAAGCGTACTCTGATTTTTGTAAGTAACTTGGTTGCAACTATAAAATTTAATTGGCATCCTCAAAAGGATTTTTCAGTAGTTAAAGAGATGTCAAAAACTCTAATTCCGCTTAGCAAACAAACTCTCTTGGATGCATACAAGGGAGGTGTTACATGGCTACAGTCATTACCACAAGGGAGCATTACAACTTGGGATGATCTGCAAACCAAGTTCTTGGCCAGATTCTTTTCAGCATCCAAGAGGAAAAAGTTGAAGGATGAGATCACAGGATTCAAGCAAAAGGAGTCAGAGTCTATCTATAAGGCCTGGGAGAGGTTCAAGACACTCTTGAGGAAATGTCCACAACATGGAATAGAAGTGTGGAATCAAGCAGCATATTCCTCTAAGGGTTGACAACCAACAACAGGACATTGGTGAATCCCACAACAGGTGGTTCATTGACAACCAAGACCCCTCAGGAAGCCCTTGACATCTCTGAGTCTCTAGCATGTCAGGAGTTTGACAATGCTCCGGTGAGTGACAGAAGGACAGGAATTATTAAACTTGATGGCTATGATGCTTTATTAGCCAGAAATGACCAGTTGCAGCAAGTTCAGAAACAACAACAACAACAACTAGCTACTCTCACCAAGCAGCTTTCTTCTCAGAAGGTTGCTTCTGTGGACACTAATTCTGTGTGTGCCATTTGTGGGAAAAGCCATGTTACTGATGATTGTGACTATGGAGGGTCTGCAAAACAAGCAGAAGTAAATGGAGTATGGTATGACCACAACAATCAGATGAACCTTAACAACCAGGGGCGAAATGTCTATGTGCCACCATGGAAGAACAAGAATCAACACCCAGGGTTCAGTTACAGTTCCAACCATCAGTTCAATCCTCCACTACATCCTCCACCACCACATTCATCACAGCAAGGTGATGCTTCTGCATGGGAGAAAGCTTTTTCCAGTTATCAAAGACTACTCAAGATTACATTCAGGGGTCAAATTCTTTCAGGGAAGAAACTTCTGCTTTCATGCAAGAGACCAAGACTGCATTCAGAAACCAGGAAGCATCTATCCGAAATTTGGAAACACAAATTGGCCAGTTGTCTAGACAAATATATGAGAGGCCACAGGGAAAGTTCCTTGGAGATACTATGGTGAATCCAAAAGAGCATTGCAAGTCCATAATAACAAGAAGTGGGCTTGTGCTTTAACCAGTGAACAAGAAAGTGGATGAGAAGAAAGTGGAAGAAAAGAAAAGTGAGGAGGAAGTTGTTGTTGAGGATGTTGTAGTTGAAAATAATGATAAAAAAGAGAAATTTGAGGAAAAGAAGAAAGAAGAAGAGGTAGTGGTTGACAAGAGTTCTTCACCCAGAAGTTGATGAAGTGGGAGAAGAAGAAGATGGCTGACAAGCAGGACCAGCTAATCAACCTATCTCCATATGCTAAAGTGCCTTACCCTCAACGGTTGAAGCAGGAAATCCAGAAGCAGCACTATGCAAGGTTTCTGGATATTTTCAAGAAGTTATAGATTAACATTCCATTTGCTGAGGCCTTGGAGAACATGCCTCACTATGCCAAATTCATGAAAGATCTTCTGTCTAAGAAGAGAAAATTGAAGGATGGTGAGACAGTGGCCTTAATAGAAGAGTGTAGTGCCCTGATCCAGAAGAAGCTTCCACCAAAATTAAAAGATCCAGGAAGTTTCAACATCCCTATTGCCATTGGAGATGTGGAAGTAGGGAAGGCACTCTGTGATTTGGGGGCCAGCATTAGCTTGATGCCATTGACTGTATGCAGAGCTTTGGGAATCAACACCTTGAAGGATACCAATCTTATTCTGCATCTTGCAGACAGATTCATCAAGAGACCGAAAGGTGTGGTTGAAGATGTTCTGGTTAAGGTGGATAAGTTCATTTTTCCCGTGAACTTTGTGATTCTAGATATGGAGGAATAAGATACTGAAAGCCCTCTACTTCTAGGGAGGCCATTCTTAGCAACTGCTAGATCCCTGATTGATGTTGAACAAGCGAAGCTGATGCTAAGGGTGAATGAAGAGACAGTTACAATTGATGTGTTTGAAGCCATTAAACATCCTGTTGATGTGGAAGATTATTTCAAGATAGATATCATACAGGAGGTTGTGGAGGAATTGAAAGGAGAAGAGGACCTGTTGTTAGAGGAAGACAAAAGTAAGGATGAGATGAGTGGAGAATTTTATCAGGAGGAACCAGTAGTTGAAGAGCTTGAAAAGAAGGTGGATGACATTCCTAAGGGAGCACCTAAGGTGGAACTGAAAGAACTACCTTCTAATATGAAGTATGTGTTCCTTGGGGATGATCAAACATACCCAGCCATTATAAATGCATTCCTGTCTGAAGGGGAGGAAGTGAAGTTGGTTGAGGTACTCAAGAAGAACAAGACAGCCATGGGCTGGTCATTTTCAGATCTTAAGGGTATCAACCCTTCCTTCTGCACTCACAAGATATTGATGGAGGATGAAGTCAAACCAGTAAGGCAACAACAAAGAAGACTTAATCCCATTCTGAAGGAGGTAGTAAGGAAAGAGGTGGTGAAGTTGCTTGATGCTGGGATGATTTATCCTATTTCAGATAGTGCATGGGTGAGTCCAGTTCAGACAGTGCCCAAGAAAGGAGGGATGACCGTGGTTAGGAATGAGAACAATGAACTGATCCCTACAAGAACAGTCACTGGCTGGAGGATGTGTGTTGACTACAGGAGACTCAATAAAGCAACTAGGAAGGACCATTTCCCTATTCCATTCCTGGACCAGATGCTGGAAAGATTGGCAGGACATGCTTTGTACTATTTTCTGAATGGATACTCGGGCTACAACCAGATAGCTGTGGCTCTGGAAGATCAGGGGAAGACTGCATTGACTTGCCCCTATGGAATCTTTGCATACCGGAGGATGCCTTTTGGCCTATGCAATGCAGCAACAACTTTTCAAAGGTGCATGCTTTCCATATTCTCTGACATGGTAGAAAGGTGCATTGAGATTTTCATGGATGATTTTTCTGTGTTTGGTCCTACTTTATATGCATGTTTAGAAAACTTGGACAATGTTTTGAAAAGATGCCAAGATTGCAATCTTGTGCTAAATTGGGAGAAATGTCACTTTATGGTGACAGAGGGTATTGTTTTGGGACACAAAGTGTCCAACAGAGGGATTGAAGTAGATAAGGCCAAGATCTATGTTATTGAGAAACTACCCCCTCCCATAAATGTTAAACGTTTGAGGAGTTTTCTAGGACATCCTAGTTTTTACCGTCGTTTTATTAAAGATTTTTCAAAAATTGCAAAACCATTGTGCAAGCTGTTAGGAAAAGATCAAGAATTTCTGTTTACTGATGACTGCTTGCATGCATTTAATGTGTTGAAAGACAAGTTGATCACTGCACCTATAATCATGGCACCTGATTTTTCATTACCATTTGAACTTATGTGTGATGCTAGTGATTATGTTGTGGGGGTAGTCTTAGGCCAAAGGAAGGATAAACTGTTGCATGTCATTTACTATGCAGTAAGATTCTTAATGAAGCACAAATGAATTATGCTACTACAGAGAAAGAGTTATTGGCAATAGTGTATGCATTTGACAAGTTTAGGTCATATCTGCTAAGGTCCAAGGTTATTGTTTACACTGACCATGCAGCTTTGAAGTATTTGTTAACAAAGCAGGATGCTAAGCCCAGGTTACTCCGATGGATGTTACTTCTGTAAGAGTTTGAAGTAGAGATCAAAGACAAAAAGGGAGTGGAGAACTTGGTGGCTGATCATTTATCCAGGATCACAGAGACACATTTACAAGAGGGTCCAGAGGTGGTGATCAAGGAAGAGTTCCCTGATGAGCAAATACTTGCCATAAGCACTGTTTCCCAGTTGGTGCATGATCAAGTCTTGTCTGTTGACAACCCACCATGGTTTGCTGATTTTGCTAACTACAAAGCTGCTGGAGCCATGCCAAAGGATTTCACTTACCAGCAGCGGAAGAAATTTCTGCATGATGTGAGGAGATACATCTGGGATGAACCATACCTCTTCTATAGATGTTCAGATGGAGTAATCAGAAGATGCATTCCAGAAGAGGAGCAAAGGAGTGTCTTATGGCACTGTCATGGTTCAACCTGTGGTGGCCACTTTGCAGGTGAGAGAACAGCAGCCAAGGTTTTGATGAGTGGCTTTTACTGGACCACATTGTACAAGGATGCCAGAAAGTATATGGAAGCATGTGACAACTGCCAGAGAACTGGGAACATCTCCAGGAGACATGAGATGCCTTTGAATAATATACTGGAGGTGGAGATCTTTGATGTCTGGGGTATGGATTTCATGGGACCTTTTCCCTCTTCCTACTCTAACAAGTATATCCTGGTGGCAGTTGATTATGTGTCGAAGTGGGTTGAAGCCATAGCCACACAAACAAATGATGCTCGGGTTGTGATAGCATTCCTAAAGAAGAACATATTTGTGAGATTTGGAGTTCCAAGAGCCATAATAAGTGATGGGGGAACCCATTTTGATAACAGGTTTGTTGAAGCTGTTCTTGCCAAGTATGGAGTGAGACACAAAATAAGTACTCCGTACCACCCTCAGACTTGTGGTCAGGTTGAGATTTCCAACAGGGAACTTAAAAGAATATTGGAGAAAACTGTTGGGAATGCTAGGACTCAATGGTCCAAGAAACTTGATGACACCCTGTGGGCATATAGGATAGCATTCAAGACTCCTATTGGAATGTCTCCATTTCAG